ATGCCCATACCTCAACCACTGACAGAGATACAGAGCGTGCATCAATGGATAAAACAGGACTGTCATATCCTGCCAAGACAGGGTAAGATAGTTTTGAAAAGTTGCTTGCCTTTGAAAATGGTATGTCAGTTATGTTAGGCCTTAGCCAAAGTTGGTTGCTTCAACGCTGCAAACATGACTTTGGGTGATTGCCCAGGTAGCTAGTTGTCTCTATGATTTGTTGCATGTTTTGGAAGTTGGTTTACTGAACTTCCTAATTACCTAGGTAACATTATTTCCCTTCTCAGATCTTCGATGGGGTTGAAGACTATATAAATGTAGTTACTTTTCTCTCACGACTTGGCCAAGTTATTTATTATACAAGACCTAAGCTAGTTAGAATAGGATATTTGTACTTATTGTATATAATTTCGTAGTAGGTTTAGAACTCTCTTACTTAAACAAAGGGGGGAGGTGTTGCGGGAGGTCCTTCTGCCCCTCCAACCAATAGCTGCTGTGATACCAGCCCACTGGGGTGTGGTCTCTCTCCCTTTAAAAAAGCGGCTATTTCCTCTGCTCACTCTCTTCACTTCCTGCTCCGCCGGCGACTAGACTCCCTTCCTGGTTGCGCAGAGGGCTGTTGTCTGGGACTGTGATCTGTAAGTTTTTTCCTCTTTAAATAAATACCACCCTTTTAATCATAATTCCAAACTGGTGTGGCATTGTTCGTGACTTAAGCCTTCATCAGCCAATAAGAAGCTGGAACTAGCTGGGCCAGGCAGTGTTTAATAGAATACAGTTTCTGTGTAATTATTTCGGGCATAAGCTAGCCATGTGGGCGGCCGGGTGCCAGGAACGCAGCCCTGCCACTCATATGGCTACATCCAAGCATGGTGGTTGCTTCATCATGTGTTTACCTTTGCCAGTATAGAATACTAAAGACTGTTCCAAACGCTAGCGTAGCGTTTTAAGTCATTACCCATTGTCATCTCTCCCCACCTACAACTATTATGTCAGCATTTGGTGCTTCTTTCTAACTGGGGGGGGGGGGCTAAATCTGGTAGGAGGCAGAGCTGGTCCTCTTCCTCCTTAGGGGGGGACACACTACTTGTGAGCTCCCTACTGGAGCGCCCTCTGGTCTCCAAGAGTGTTCTTTCTTTATTCCCTGGCAGCCTGGCTGGCGCAGAGTCCAAGGAAATCTCTTGCATTGACAAGCTAGTTCTATGTCACTTGGATAGTGACAGTAACAAGCCGGAAGGCCGAAGTTTCTAGAAACCAGTGTTTCCCTCAATGCTTTGGTCTTTTACGTGAACCTGCTGATTTCAAAGTTTCATTTCTTCCTTCATCAAAGATTTCAGTTGCTCCGGTCAGGGGTGTGCCCAGATTGACAACCTTACCAAAGTTGCAAGGTGCTCAGACTGAAGCCAGGCAGACCAAGAAAGGTTCAAGCAAGGTTCAAAGGCATCGGTTTACAGCTAGTCTGACCACCAGGCGGCGCTCAAGTCCTCGTTTTTGTTTATTCAGCTGCCGGTGTGTGGGTTTTGGTTCTGAACAGTGTCCTGTGCCTTGGGGGATACTGTTTCACAAACAAGGCTGGTGCTATGGCTCAGCCAGTAAGTCTGATAGCGATCCCCAGAATCCACATAAAAACTGGCTGGTTTGCACATCTGAATCCCAGCACTCCTCTTATGAGACGAAAAATAAGAGTCAGAAGGATAGCCCTGAAGCTCACCAGCCAGCTAGCCAAGAGTACACTGGTTGGCCAAAACAAGAAAGACCCTGCCTAAATGAGGCTGAGAGCGGGGTGGGGGGGGGGGGGACAGCCAGGAGAGCTGTCCTCTGACGCCCACACCCACAAGCACCATGGAGTTTAAACTGTAGTTGTTAGAGGTGCCAGGAAAAAACACACAACAGACAATTAAGGAAAAATTAACAAACACTGGCAAGTTCCTGTGTTTCAAGCAATGAGATATTTGTGATAGTGACAGCTTCCTGTCTTAACAAACCTGCTTCATGCAGGTTTCTTGTTTCTGACACTCAAAACCGATTCTACCATCATTCCTACCCTGTTAGGGGTCGCTGAGAAGACCACTGTTGCTATGACGGGTCACTGAGAAACTCAGGAATGGGCTCCACTCCCTGGTGTGTTTGTACTTGCCTAGAGTAAAGAGGGCTTCTTTTATCCACTAAGAATGATGTCGTAACCAAGAAGAGAAATCCGAACACAGATAGAGGCAGACACAAGGAAACACCGGTGGACATGAGGATGCCAGTCCATCAGCTAATGAGAGGGGCCTGGGACTGAGCCTGGCCTCACAGCCCCAGAAGGAACCACCCATGCCAATACTGCTGGATATGGTTAAATTTCAGAGCTGTGAGGCAATATATCTTGTGATTTAAGTCTCTTAGCCTGTGTCGTTTTGTCCCAGCACCTTAAAGCAGAAAATGAGGACTAAGAGACAGTGAAAAACGTAATAGAAGGCCCAGAATTTGCAACAATGACCACCCTACATTTGTAAGCCTTTGGCGGGTTTGGATTTAGTTTTTATTTAGTTTTAGTTTGAAACTTTTTAGTGTTATTGAAGTATAACTGATAAATTGATGCATTGTATATATGTAGGGTATATACATGATATGTTAATACAGATATATATTGTGAACTACCAAAAATTAAGCTAACTAGCTTATATATCACTTTGCATAATCTCTCTCTCTCTCTCTCTCGTGTGTGTGTGTGTGTGTGTGTGTGTGTGTGTGTGTGTGTGTAGAAACTTCAGATCTATTCTCTTCCTGAGGGGTGTGTGTGTGTATGTTTAGACACTTCAAATCTATTCTCTTCCCTGAGGTGTTTCAACTGGGCTAAAATGAATTGACTGCCAACGTGTGGGTTTATTCTAAGATCCACTCTGTTCCACTCATGCATACACCCACCATCAAGTCAGAGTTACGTTTGTTTGATCACTAATGTTCTGCAGCATATTCTGAAATCAGATATACAGCGCTTTTGGCTTTGTTATTTAGCCAGTCAAGGTCACATGAGTTGGTTGGAATTTTTATAAGTATTGTAATTGAATCTGCAGATCACTGCATATACTATGAAACTTCAGTTAGTATATAAAATAAATGAAAAAATGTTATTTAAATAAAATAAACTAATAAAAATTCATAGCACCATGGCACTTTATTGGCAGTAGCTGTCGACATCATTGTTCAAATTATGTATAAATTCTAACTCTCAAGTCATCAATTAATTTCTGCATAAATTAAATTATAGTCTCATATTTTATAGTTTCTGCCTATAAGACTGTCTCTGGAAAAATGTTTGTTTCATTTTGTGACAAATATGCTTACTTTCCCCTTAAATTCATTTATTTTTCTTCTTCAATGTATCTCGTTGTCAACGTAGGTTCTCTTCCATTTCCCTGAGCTTCTGTAAGGTGAGCCATTGGAATTCTTCTGGCAACCCGCAAGTCTCCAGTTCCTGTGGTAGGCAGCTACAAGCTTGATATTTTTCTCTAATGATGTTAGGTTTGCCTGATTCCTTTTTATTCAGTGTATTGACCTGTACCTTTAAAGTTCCTTAGAAAGTGTTTTTAGCCATTTTGGGTCTTCTCTTAGATCTCTGAGCTGGTGGCCTTGCCTTTGGGATCACAAGCAAACATTCTTAGAACCAGTCCCCTGACTGCTGGCTGCTATCCCTTTTCAACAAGGACCCTAGTAGACCTGGGTTCTGTATGGTCTGTGGTTGGACTAGGCTGTCTCCAGGACCTAAAGCAAGAGGATTAGGGTTTGCTCCAGGGTGCAAAGCAGATCTCTTATTGGTTTGCAGACGAGTGTAACTTCCTCTAAGTCTCGGGTAGGACTGCTGTTGGATCATGGAGTGGTTCCTGGGACAGACAGTACCAATGCAATCTGAGGCTAAGAGGGCCCACAACCAAGCTGCAGGGCTGCTTCAGGATCTAAGAGACAAAGTCTCTAAGACCATCTCTGTATGCATATACCCAGAGTTCAGACTGCTGTCAACCTGCACCAGAAAGAAAGTGGAGCTGAGATTTGGGGTTATTCTAGGGTCTTCTGAGGAATGGAGGCTGACAAGCCTGCCCTGAAGAGTAAGCTGGGTTTATCTTCTGTCATAGTTTGGCAGAGTTGCTGCCAGACCACAGCTTAGGGGTTGAGGTTTGGGTCCCTTAAGCCTGCTTTGCAACTGAAGTTGGTACATGTGTTCCCAGAGTTGCAACCGGGCAGGTCTTAGCTATGTTTTATGCAGGGAAGATTACTATTGGAGTAGAGACATGTTTGGGGGCCTGTTCAGGAAATACTGAGGTGCTAAGATTAACAACTCTGCCCTAGGGACCAGCATAGGCTCACTTCTCTCTTCATCTGTAGGTGACAGTGGCTTACCACACGATAGCTGAGATGAGCTGGGGCCAAATTAGAGTGTCGTTTCAAGATGTGTGCAATTGAGACTGAATGAAGCAGACCACCTAATGTGCTAATGAATGTGACTCACTTCTGGTCCCTTGGCAAAGCTTTTGACACAGAAGGATTCAGCCAAGGCTACAGGTGGATGGCGTTATTTCTAGGTCTAGAACCTGCACCACAGCTTGACCCTGGGGCAAAGTGTGTTCACTGACACCAGTCGTCCAGATCATAGACCGTTGGGGTGTCACAAACTCCTACCCAAACTCTAAGACTTCTGCAGAAGTGCTTTGGGTACGTGAAGGAGGGCTTCCTCATGAACTACCCGGGTGAGGTCTAGCCTTGTCCATGCTCTTTGTCTCCTTTTGTTATTTTCTCTGTCTGCTTTTACAGCTTTCTCCATTTCCAAAAACAGTTATGTCTTCTCTCTTCCTCTCTCTCTTCTTCCCTCTCCCAGTCCCCCTTACTTCCCTTCTCCCCCTCCTCCCTCTATCCATGTGCGTTTTGGGGGTGCACTTGGAAACCAGATCCCCAGGAGCTGGAGCTACAGGTATTGAGAGTCACTTGACAAACTAAGAACCAAATCTGGTCTCTGTAAAGATCTCTCTAGCTGCCATCTCTATTTTTATTAAAAATAAAAGTGGTTTTATGTCTAGGTGGTTTGCTTTTTATATTTCCACTGTTGGTACTTTTTTTCTGATATTCTAAGAGCCCATAAACTCATGTTTTCACCAAAATCTGAGATAGTTTGGGCCATTATTTTTTCTCTTTTTGCTTTCTTCTGGCCCTTCATTAATGATTCCAAGGTCCATTCTCAGTTTCAAAGTTCTCTCTATTTTCCTGAGTGGCCACACTTCTGATCTAATTTCAGGTTCACTGACTTTCTTTGATCATCTTGAATATGGCAGGAAGTTGAGCAATTAATCTTTAATTTAAGATAACAAGAAAAATTTAACCAGTTAATAATTCCCAATTAAAAATTCTATTTCTCTGCTAAAAGTTGTTTTTGTTTCTCTTTAGCATACTTGCCTTCAGTCCTTAAACAGCTCCTACCGTGTGATATTTCTTTTGTGCTGTAACAAATAAAGCTCACCTGAAGATCACAGAGTGTGGAAATAGCCACGTTGGTTAGCCATAGAGGCCAGGCAGTGGAGGCACACACCTTTAATCCCATCACTCAGGAGACAGAAGCAGACGGATCTCTGTGAGTTCAAGGCCACTGTGGGCTAAACAAGATTGAATCAGTCTAAAAGAGACACAGAGCTCTCTAAAAGAGATTAGAGTGGTGGCTCACACCTCTAATCCCAGCAGTAGGGAGGGGGAGATGGGAAGTGATATGGCTGGGCCAAGAGGAATATAAGGCGGGAGGAGACAGGAGCTCAGGCTTCAGTCTGAGGTTCCATAGAGACAGCATTCGGTCTGACGACTTTTAGAGACAGGGTACCCCATTCTGTCTGAGGATTTCGTAGAGGTAAGAACTAGTGAATGGCTGCTCTGCTTCTCTGATCTTTCAACTTTCACGCCCTAATATCTGCCTCTGGGCTTTTATTATTAAGACCAATTAGAAATCACACTACACTCTAGAGCATTTATTAAAATTATTATCTACTAATCCCAATCTAGGTCACCAATTTTCCCCACTGATGCCCTGTTATTCTTGAGAATGGGTTATGTTTTTTAAAGTTTTTTTTTTTATTTTACCCCATTCCCATCCTTCCGTCTCTCCCTCTAATCCTCCCATGCCCCCCCCCCACTCCCTCTTAAACTCACGACCTCTCCTTAAACTATTGTTACACACACAGGCAGACGTATGTATAAGAGCCCATTTAGTGTTGCCTGGGTGTGTTTAGGAATGATCACTTGGGATTTAATAACCTGTTGGGGGAGGGGGGCTCATCTCCAATTCTCCCTCTCTCCGCAGCCATTCATCGTCTGCAGCCCTTTGCCTGGGGATAGGACCTTGTAAGATTTCTCTCACCAACACTGGAAGCTGTCATCCTCCAGATCTTCTCTAAGCAATCTTTATGATTTCGTGGGTACAATTTCCCTGTCATAGACAGAAGACCCCGTATCATTGCAGACATGCCGGTCCTCTGGCTCCTACAGCCTTTCTATGCCATTCCCAGCAGTTTTGCCTGAGCATGAGGTGTAAGAGCTGGGCTGCAGATGTGTCAGCTGGGGTCGCACATCTGCAGTCAGTTGTTCTCTGCATTTGGTCTGGCTGTGGATTTCTGTAATGGTCCACATCTGCTTCACATAGAAGCTTCATTGATGAAGAACCCCTTACCTTTGGGACTAAAGATAACTACTTAGAATGCAGCTGGAAGTTATGCTGGTTTAGGAAAGTGGCAGAAGCAGGTTCTCCTCTAAGGTCTGTGACCTCATCACCCACAGGCAGTTGACTGGGTTTGCAGTACTAGGCACGAATTCCCTCCTACTGAGCAGGCTGTAAGTCCAATTAGACAGCTGCTGGTTGCCCCTAGTTATAAATGCCACTATTGCGCCTTTGGAAGCATCTTCCTGATGCTGGCTATTGCTGTGTTTTGCAGGCTTTAGAGCTGGGTAGGACTATCCAATGGTTTCCTCCCTTCATTGGCGTAGATTCAGACAGTGTGAGAGCTCGTCCTCAGGGAAGAGTCTACCAGGTCCGCTTCAACGCAGTTCCTTCTAATTTTGTGTCTGAAATACATGGTCTCTTCATCAATGGGGTCTTACTTTCAAGTCTGGCAGAGGTGGGCAATTAAGGGCAAGGCAATAGCCTACATTATTTGGAGGGGAGCTTTGATTGCCCAGAAAAACTCTGAAATAGCTGTAGTGCTTATAAATCTGTGGTGTCTGTCTATTACATCTGTGTATCTAAAGCATCTGAGTGTGTCTGAGTGTCTATACATCTGTGTATCTATAGCAAATGAGTGTCTGTGGTGTGTACGGTGGAATCCAGGACCTTACATGTGCTGGGAAAATACTCTACCACACTCCCAGCCTTAGTAATCTTGGATTTTGTGCTGAACCTTATTGTTAATAGTGAAGGTTTTAGGTTTCGTTTTGTTCTTCTTAAATTCTCTCTGTGTGTGTGTGTCTGTCTGTCTGTCTGTCTGTCTGTCTCTCTGACTTAAACAGAGAATGAATTTGGCCATACTCATAGTTGAAAAACAGTTTGCTCCTTGCAATGTTTAGCAATTAAAATTATACACCGTTCCTTCACCCCAAGGCTACAGAGACTCTGAACATCAGAAACCAACTAGAAACTTGTGCAAAGTCTACTCACAAAATCTGGGTTGTCTTTTGCTTTCCCTTTCTGGGTTTTGTCCATGCAGTGAGACCTCCACTTGAATTCATTCTTTCTTCCCACATGAAGGTAACTCTAATTTCCATCTGCTTCAGTTGTTCACGAATACCTTCTGATGTTCTTAATTGCAGATGGTTAATCATTGATATCTGTTAGAATGTTGCTTTGCTTGCTTGTTTGTTTTGAGACAAGGTTTCACTGTGCAGCCCTGGATGACCCAGAGCTCACTATATAGATCAAACTGACCCCTAACTCATGGAGTTTCTCCTGCCTCTGCTTCCTGAGTGCTGGAATTGAAGACATGCATGCACCATGTCTGACCCTGGAATGCTGATCTTACAGAAATCATTGCTATAGTTCTGCTCCTAGCTGTGAATTTTTTGATGAAATTCTTCCAGCCTATGGTGTGCATTATCCATGTATAAGTTTTAATTAAGTTAAAAAATAACTCCCTAAATGCTATTGTGTAGTAAAATACCTTAGGGGTTCCGCGAATAATATAAAAGGACATTTTCTATTTGAGTCGATGCACAAACTCCAGTCTGAGCTTTGTTCTTCCCCAAACTGTTGACAGTAGAACAAGACATGTTGACAATAGAAATCAAGACAGAGGGTTTGCCAAGGGCTGTGTGTTCCTTTAGTTGGAGCTATTTCCAGGATGAATGTGTGGTAGTGAACATAGTGGCAAACAGATAAGAGTTACATCCAGATAAAACTAGGTTCAAATGCTCTGTCGTTTCCTGTCTGTATTGAGCTTAGCCATTTGACTGGAGTTCCTAATGTCAACATTCACATTAGTAAAATGGTGCTGATGATAGTAACTTCCATATAGTCTTTTATGATGTGACTTGATGCAATGTAAACGGAGTGGAAGCAAGCTAAGCCCATATTATTTAGTCACTGTGGTGGTTTGAACGAGAGTTGCCCTCCTAGATTCATATATTTGAATGCTTGGTCCCCAGTTGGTAGAGTTAGAACTGCTTAGGAAGGATGAGGAGGTGTGGCCTTGCTAGAAGAGGTGTGTCACTGTAGGTGGGCTTGGAGGTTTCAAAAGCCCATTCATTCCAGGCCCAATCTTTCCCCGCCCACTCTCTGCCTCTTTCTTGTGGGTAAGTTATAAGCTCTTGGCTACTTCTCCAGCACCATGCCTGTCTGCCTGCTGCCACACTCACTACCATGGTGGCCATAGACTCTACTTCTATCTCAAACCATGACCCCCAAATTAAATTCTTTCTTTTATACGTTGATTCAGACATGGTGTCTTAAATAAATAAGACAGACAATGAAAAAAACACATATCAGAAGGCTTTGCTATATGTTTAAATGATCTGTGTTTACAATTTCTTTGAGCGAGAGGATAGTCATTAGTAATGGGGCTGGGGACGCAGCTCAGTAGTAGAGTACTCACTTGCCCAGCATGTACAAGACCTTGGGTTCAGTCTCCAGCACTGAAAAGACAGAGAGAGTGAAAGAGAGGGGAGATGGAGGAAGGAAGGAAAGAAAGAAGGAAGGAAGAAAAGAAAGGAGAAAAATGTTAAAAAAAAAAAAAAAAAAAAAAACATGCAGAGCCCTCAAGATGACGTAGTAGGTGAGGCTGCTTGTCGGGCAAGCTTGATTACCTGGAATTCAAGACCTGCTGCCACACATCCATCATTCCAACACTCTTAAGGCAGGATGGAAGACAAAGACAAGAGACTTGCCTGGCAGCTTGAAGGCTGGGTATCCTGAAATACACGGGCTAGCAGAAAAACAAGCAAGTCTGCCTCAATACAATAGAAAACAAAAAAAGAACTGACTTCTGATGTCTTCTGACATGTACACCACCTTATTCACACACACACACACACACAGAGAGAGAGAGAGAGAGAGAGAGAGAGAGAGAGAGAGAGAGAATAAATTTTAAAATTTAAGTAATGAAAATCTTGACGTTTGTAGGTCTCGAATAGCAAAGGTATTGATGTGAATAATACTTGTTAAACTTTATGTCAACTCTCTGGCTGTGTTGCATGAATATACCTAAATTAAAAAAAAGGAACAGATTGTTTCTGCCCTCTCCCTATTCCTCTCTCTGAATAATTAACAATAACAGCACTTTTAACACCTATTAGATGCTCCAAGTAGTGTATATATAACTTTTAATTATCACAACAATCATATGGAATCAATTCTGTTGCTCTCATCTCCAGATGAGGAAATCGGAGCAGGTGTATAGTAAGGATCCATATAGAACACTGACCTCAGCTGTGCGCGTCTAGTCTGAAGTCTCTGCAAAGTAAGAGCTTCCATTTGAAAAGCTCTTGCTGTGAGGAAATGTGTTGTAATTTTAAAAAGTGGTGCACGAGAAAAAGACACGGTGTGACAGAACTCACCTGAAGGGGTTTTTACTAGGGGAAAAAGAATGGAAAGGGGGGAGAGGCAAGAGGAGCCCCGCCCCTCTGGAGACGGCGCAGAAGAAGACAGGAGAGAGGGAAAAGCAGAAAGACAGGCAGAGAAGGGGGGGCAGGTAGAGAGAGAAAGAGATGGGAGATGGCAGGGTTCTTTTAATCGGGAACGCAGTGAATGTGCACAGGAGGTGATCTTAGCGGCTGCAGCTGAGGACAGATTTTGTCAGGACCTCAAGGGCAGGCCAGTACAGACGCCTGACTAGCAAAGCGTCTTCCAAACCTTATTTCACATCAAATCTGAGGTGAATGAGAAAACCACTGATTTCTTATTATGGGCACAACAAAGACCAGCCTACAGGAAGATTTTGTATTATTCCAGAGACAGTTTGTCCCAGACCTGGTTGATAAGACTGACCAGGGAATGGAAAGACAATGAAAGTTCTTTCCATCCAACCAATGCCCAGCTCCTCAGGAGAAGAACAGCCTCAGTTCTTCATATATATTCCCCAGGTGAAAAACTAAAATCAGAAATGGAGGCACAGAAGACACCGCAGAAGCAGAAAATTATTGAGAGACTTGAGCTGGAAAAAAATTAGCTTAGATGAAATAACATTCAATCCTGTCCTGCCTTGTATCATGCCCCCTGTGTCTCTAGGAATGTTCTGGTACAGCTTCAACTTCTGTGTGTTTGTGTATAAATCAAGAACTGCTGTGCGTATCATTGCAGAGGTCAAAGCCTGAGACTCTTGTTGTTGTCTGCCTGTCTATCACAAGGCATGGAAACCTCTGGAGAGCAATAACATTGCATGGCATATCCAACACCAGGTCTGTACCTAAAAGATGCTCAGGAAGTGTCTGTGATGACTGAATCCGTGGTTCTTTATTGGGTTACGGGAGTTAGTGTGTAGAAAGGGGGAAGTCTAGGATGGAGATTCCACAAGGTCATCTAGAAAGGATGACCGACGGTGTCTCCGCCACTTCAGGCTGTCGTGTCTCTGGGCAGCCTCCAGCAGAGTTGAATCACAAGATAGGGCAGATTAGTAAGTATCCCCTAATGTGCCCAAGACCGGGAGTGGTTTTTGTTCACTGCAGAGTTCGCCCGCAAACACTGGGAAGGTTCTACAGAGTCCTTTCCCCTAGCTGGCTGCCCCTTCCGGAAGCCAGCACTGCTTTCTGCCCTCTCCACTGACCGTCTCCTCCCCTCACAGCCTCATCCAATTCCTGGAAATCTCTGCTCAACATTCTCCTCAGTCAGGGGCCAAGTTCAGCTGCTGTGTTCTGAGCCCTGGCAAGGACTGCACACGGAGGGCAGACTCAGCAGGCCTCCTTGCCTGGGTAGACCTAGCCCGTTTGTCTCCCTCACAGTACCAGGTAAGACATAGCCTCTCTCTTTCTCTCTCTCTCTCTCTCTCTCTCTCTCTCTCTCTCTCTCTCTCTCTCTCTCTCTCTCTCTTTGTCTGTCTGTCTGTCTGTCTGTCTGTCTGTGTGACTGTGTGCATTTATACATTCCACAAAAGCCTTAAACTTGAGAATGCAGTTTTAAATTCTGGGAACACCACCTACAAATTGTGTGGCATTGGTCAAATCACTTAACTTCTCTGACATTTTCTTTCCTCGAGTACAATGGGCATGCTGGTGAGAGGAATACCTGGAAACATGTGTGAGCTGTGTTTAGCATGGTGTTGGCTCATAGAAGGGGACTGGTGTGTTAGGAAATGAGTAGAGAAGACAAGAGACAGGAGTCACTGAAAGCAAACTACACTGAGCAGAGGCTGGTTCACTTTGCCTTTAACCTGGTAAATCAGGTGCTGAGCAAGTGTGTGGACCTAAATTTGATCTCCAGTACCCATATGACAGTCCAGGTAGGGTGCCCTATGGCATGTGCCTTACGTTCATTAGTTGTTTTGACAACTGGATACAAGCTAAGTCATCTAGGAAGCAGGGAGGAACCTCGACTGAGGAGATACCGCCATCAGATTGACCAGTAAGCAAGTCTGTGGAGGCATGTTTATGATTAATGATTGATGTAGGAGAACCCAACTCACTGTGAGTGGTGCCACCCCTGGGCATCTTGCCTGGTACTAAAAACCAGCTGAGAAAGCCATGGAGAACAAGCCAGCAAGCAGCATTCCTCCACGGTTCCTGCTCCTGTTTGTGTTCCTGCTCTGGCTTCCCTCGGTGATGAAGCATGATCAGGACCTGTAAGCTATTAAATAAATTGTTTCCCCTGCAAGCTGCTTTTGGTCACGGTGTTTATCACAACAACAGAAAGCAAGCTGTCATCACTATAACGTGATCAGGAAATCAGAGACAGAAGGATCCCTGAGGCTTACAACCAACCAGTCTAGCCAAATCAGCCAGCCTCAGGATCAGTGAGAGATGTCTCAAAAACTTAAAGTGGAGAGATACTGGGGAAATCAATTGACATTGTCCTCTGACCTTCACATATGTGAGCATGTGTGCATGTAAACACACACTCAAACACAGAGAGAGAGAGAGAGAGAGAGAGAGAGAGAGAGAGAGAGAGAGAGAGAGAGAGAGATTCATAATTGTTGGTAGTTAAAAGGTACCTCAACCTCAACATCTTTAAATTCTTGGTATGCTCCAGGCCCAATACTGGCAAAGTGTTTATATCACTAATAATCATGAAAATCAGTGTGGTAGTTATCACCTTTGTTCCTCAAATTACAGCAACCAAAACCACAGAACTAGTCGGTGGTAAAGCCAGAGCTAAAAGTCAAATACTGGCTCTGAGACTGAGTTCCCCTGTGACAGACATTAAATGTGTCGGAATGTTAAGTAACATTTTGTGTCCAAAGGGTTGCTGATTCCAGGAAGGTCTCCAGGTACTGAATGCATGAGTCTAGAATCCCGGATCCAGCCCCCCTCAAATCCACATGGCAAATTGCCTCCCAAATAGACTTTAAAACATTTCAAAACATTGGGCTTTAAAATCAATTTATCATGCCTTTAATGTTCATCCTCCAAGAGAGTCGACCTTCCTCCAGTTGATAGGATGTAAATCCACACGTGGAGCCCTGATAATAAGTATTTCATAACTGAAAGGGAAATTGTTCTATGATTCAGACATTCATTCTATAGACAAAATAAAAATTTCTCTTTCTAGTTTCCGTTCCCCAGTTTTTCAAAACATGACAAGGGAAGAATCTAACATTACATTGACTATTTAGTGTTCATTAACAGACACTGGGTGAATAGATAGATATTCATCTATATAGAGAATAACATTGATGTGATTCTTGCTGTCTTGGTATATAGCCATAGATAGTAATGTAGAGAGATGCAATTTTAGATATTGATACATGGACACAGCTGTGAGAGAGATCTGTGCACCCCCAGGAGGACACACGGAAATACATAGATACGGGTGTCTCTTAAAACTGGAGCATGCGCTGTGCCGTGTGGTCTATCTGTATATTTCCGTGCAAAAGCTGTTCTGCGCCATCAGTTTCAGGCACCAGTCTCCACTTCTTCGATCTAACCCTGTTGCAGAGGTCAAGATGATGTTAGTTTGGGTCAGGTTTAATGACTCCAATTTCCCTGGAAAGATAATTAGCAATCAGTAACTCCCACTTTTAGAGCACTGTGGAGGCTGGAAAACGCAGACCCGTTTCCACCTTGGCTGATGGTCAGAGAGTTTGGAGACTGACAAGCATAGCTGCACATCCCAACTCAGGATGCGATTGCTTGGTTCTTTGGTTCTTTTTTTTTTTTTTTTTTTTTTGGTTTTTCGAGACAGGGTTTCTCTGTGGCTTTGGAGCCTGTCCTGGAACTAGATCTTGTAGACCAGGCTGGTCTCGAACTCACAGAGATCCGCCTGCCTCTGCCTCCCTATGCTCGGTTCTTTTGAATTAAGATCAATCCCTGCCATCCTGACAGATGGTCAGGATATACAAACGTACTTCTGTTCCTTCTTTTTTAACTATGAGGTCACCTGGGGACAGGTGGTCTTCAGGATACCTGACCTAGAACACCTTTGCTACCTAGACCACAGAATGCTAATGATTGAATGTCTCAGAGTGATAAAGCCATCGACTGTGCAACCTATCCTTGTATCATGTTAATAAAGTCTTTTGTTACCTTCTCTCCTGTTTATGTTGGGTATAAAAGCTGTGGAAAAATAAACTCTGGAGGGATTTCAGGATTTCAGTCACTGGAATGTCCTCCCGATACTTTCTATGGTTTGTGTCCTGTTATTTCTTTTTGATGTGTCTTTATATTCTTTACTATATTTCTCAAATTTCCATGCCCCTACCTGGGTAAGAAGTGTTTTTGTCGAGACTGGTCCTCGACAGAGTACTTACCTATGCTGGGCCTTGCAGAATGTCAGCAGTCCCTCATTACCTTTGCTTAGGTCAATAGGTGCTGTTGGTCCATCTGTATTTGAGAGAGAGGTTAAGTAAATTGCTCCAGGTTACATAGATGGCAAACGGAGGGGCTGGAATTTGAACCTGTGCTGTTTGATTGCTAAAGGCTACCCTCTCTGCTACACACAGCTTTCCTTATCTAGGTAACTTCTGTGTTTGGCAACTCACATGACAAACATGAAGTCAGAACTGCAAACTAGTTGTGAGAGAGTTTTATTTATTTCTATTTGAACAAGAAGGTTGCCATGGAAAATTAGAACAGACGGAGTGACTTGACATTTCTTTTTGTTTTCTCAAAGTTCTGAATAACGAACACCTAAGGTCAACACTCGAGGCCTCTTTTCTTGACTTGTTGATGACTGTTTCCCTGTTCACATAGCACTGGCCTCCACCTTGCGTCTGAACGCTAATCTCCTTTTTTCCTGTTTTCTGACACTGCCTCCCTGTGGGTCCCTGGCGGGTCTCAAACTCACAGAGGTTATTAAAGCTGTGCACTACCGATGCCTGCTTCCTACTCTTAAAAGGAGGTCAACCATAATGTATTCCAAAGACCTCATTTTAACTCAATTCCTTTTTTAAAGCACCTACTTCTAATGACAGTCACACTGAGAAGAAATATTGGGGTTAGTGCTCCCACAGATACTTCAGAAGGGACACAGAAGCAGCCCGTGATAAAGTGTTGCTATATTTCCTCGTTCTGGCTCACCCTTTGGTTTAAGTCAGTAGCCACTACTTGATTATTTTGACTATTTCTTTTGCAGTGCTAGAGACTGGACCAGGCACAGACCAGTGTTCTACTACTGAGATATGTTCCCATCCCTTTTAACTGCTTAAGTGACTGAATGCCCTGCCTTTGGGGAAAACACTATTTAAGGAGGAGCCGAGGTCATGCAGACATCTACATAGAAATATAGCTGCTGTAGAAAAGAATGGCCAATGGGTGCCTGCACCCAGCATCTGCCCCTGCAGCACACTCGTTTCCACGGTGGAACTAAAGGATGCTGCAGTTCCCAAGAAGCCAACCATTTTTGTTGTCATCAGTTAAGACTACTCCATCCAATCCTTAACATCTAATCTCAACCTCCAATTACATGATCTTTCAAATACAGGATTTAGTTTTGGTTTTTTGGTTTTGGGGGGTTTTGTTGTTGTTTGTTTGTTTGTTTCGGTTGGGAGAGGGGATCTTGCCGTACAGCACAGGCCATCCTAGGACTGGCTTTATCATCTAGACTGTGCCTGAATTCATGATCTCACTGAAATGTCAGTGGGTCTCCATTGCCTATATTGACTCTGAGGCTGGGAACTGCTGCCCAGGACTCTGTCCCAGGGAGCATCTTAGAGCTGCACAGTATCAGCAGGAAGGAGCTGAGACACTAGCACTCTCTGCTCCAAGGATGGGTGTATGGCTGTAGGAATCCATACAGAAGCCCGCAAAGCCCAGGGGAAGCGCATAATAGCAGAAGGACAGAAGGACAGGACTCTCGCTACCATCATCTCTATGTCCCTTGGCATGGGCTTCATTTATTTCACATGATAGATATCATAACCTCAGGAATTTTCCCCAACTTTTCACTCTATGGCTGTTCCAATAGGAGACAGTCTGAGCTACTTTTTGGTACCAAACACACTGACAGACAGACAGACAGTATATAGACACACACACATACACACACACAATTTTGAGAAGTATTGTGATTGCTCTAGCTTGTGTTTAAAAATCACAGGGATGACTATTGAGATTCTGACTCAGCATCAGCTGTTGGGGATGGGGTTTAGATGATGATATGACAGTTTCCATGGAAACCACAAGATTGGGCTTGACAGGAAGAAAGTTCTCCAGAGTAAAGATAACTTGTCCCATGGGACAGGATTTGCAATTGGGAATACCACATCAAATCAGAGGGAGGTGCAAGGGAATTCCAGGAAAGTGTTCCAATCCCATGTAGCAGCTACAGCCATTCACTAGCATTTTGCACCCTGTGGTCCCTCAACTGGGTAGAGAAATCCCCATCCGAAGCAAGAGGCAAGCCTAGCAACAGATAGTGACCACACATCAACACTACATGGAGAAGGCGCCTGTGGGGTGATGGGCATATAAACCATCTCTTCCCAAGGCAGGCAGTCACTTGAAGGTTCTGTGTTTCACACCAGAGGACCACCTCGATATGCTGTGGCTGAAGAAGTTCCAGATCCCGAGGGGCATCTACGAGTTCTTCCACAGCTTCTCCTCAAGCCCATCTCAGCAGCACAGTGTCTCCACATCACAAGTGTGGCCTCAAAGATGGAATGACTATGATTCGCCTGAGGAATTTAACTTTGCGAGAGACGTGCTGGACTACTGGGCTCAAATGGAGGAGGTAAGGGGGCCATGGTGATGGAACATTGGAACAGGAGTGGCCTAGTGGCTTTGTCTTGCTCTAACTAGGTAAAGACAGACAGAGAGATGGAGAGCTTCTTCAAGGCAGCTGTATCGTGGGAAAGGCTTACATCTGAGGGCTTGATTCCTAGTCTGGGTATTTTTCTCACTTCTCTGAGCTTCAGTGGACTTGTTTGTTGTTTGTTTTTCTGTGAAATTGGGGTAGATTTATTCTTAAAACTCACTTGTACAGTAGGTAAAATCATTTGGTGAATATTTATTCTTCCATAACTATGATCTAGTGCAAAGTTCCAATAGGCAGGTTACCGGCGCTCCAAATTCTCCGCTTCAGTTCATGGGAGAGTTGAACTGTTCAGCTCGTCACACTCGGACTAGTCTGGGAGCCATGCCTAGAGAAGGGACAGGCTTTCAGAAATCACAGAGGAGTATCTATCACATTTGTCTAAATCATGTCACCTGTCAGCCAATGAAGGTGGCAAGTCTCCCTGAGACTACAATCTTCCAAGTGGCTCGATCTTTCCCAGAGGGGCAATCTCTGTGGCCCACAGAGGCATCACATATCTGTACAGAGAAAATCCCCCTTGGCCTGTCTTTTCCCAAGACACAGACAGCTAGAAAAGTAGTCATGGCACTGGGAGCTGCCATAGACAGGTGTGATGTGCTGAGCCGCCCAGCCCTAGCCCTGCAACACCCGATCTTTGTACGGAGATGAAGCTGGGGAGTAGCTGTAAGTTTATGTTCCCCAGGAACATGACTCATGCCTCCTCTGTCATCTTCTCTCAGAACTTTCATGACAGCGCCAAGAATAACACAGCCCTCCGTCATGTAGAACATGTGTCTGTTCCATGTCAGCCAGTGTACACTTGACCTTCTGCGGTTTCCCATTGTCCAGATGAGGAGACTGGGCACCTGAGAGTTTAAGTGACCCACAGGAAGCGCCTACCTATCTAACAAACAAGGGAACAAGATTTGGATCCAGGCTGACTGATTCCACAATCTAACCTTTAGCCTAGTGTCACTCTCTAAGAGGCCAGAGCACCTCTGCTTCAGAGATAAACAGGCCAAGACTGTAGGTCTAGTTAAGAATATTGAGAACGTGAGATGGGCTGGGAAAGAAGGAAGTGGCGATAAGGAGACGATGGTAGTAGCTTGTTCCGTGTGTTCTCCATAGAGTTTGGGTTAGTGAGCTTGTAAATCAGTTTATGTGATTAACAAACAAGCAAATCTTCCTGTAGGGAGTCTAGGATGACTGGATTTCATAATATCATAGTAAGCCATTGCCATACCATCTGTATCTCCAACACCCTCAAGCCCATTTATAAGCACCCCATTTCATGAATATTCATTTCCAATATCTTGGATCTGTCTGCTTCAACCTTTTCAAATGTCGCACTCATGGTTAGTAACTCAGACCCATTCACTGTTAGCCTGGAGTGACATTTGGTGTCTCACGCTTGGTAAGCACTCAGGAAACACTTGTGGAATGGGTTGACTTTGGGTCCTTCCTTGTTGGCGCTCCTGTAAAAGCTGCCACTTTCTGTACCACCTCTGGTAAGCATCACTCGGAAACTGATCCCTGGTTCACTCAACAGCTCTGCCCAAACCGCCACTGTTTATGCCACTTGCTTTTGAACGTATTTAACTTGTAAGATATAAGATGGAAATATAATGTATATAATGTACCCCCGTGTAATAGTCTGGGATTTGGGCAGATTATTTATTAGAAAATAAAAATTGAGCTGTAAGCTAGACAGTTTACAGTGGATGCAGTTACTCACTAAGGCTATCAATGTATAAGCATGGTTGTTCTTGGAAATTAAAGCATATATTATCATCAAATCCTCAGGTACTTTATGTATACAGTTTCTATTGAGTCCTGAAACAGTCCCCAAATGTGTTCATGAGAGATCACATTCACATCAGCTTGTTTCCACTCTGTCTTTTACACTCTTCACTTGATTCTTTATTCATAGAATTAAGATTTGAGGAGCACCCAACAAGGGGATAAGACAGTAAAAGAGACAGACAATGCTCCATTTTTCCTGCCACTTTCTGTTTCTTTCTTCAATCTGTCCTTTGTTATTTTATGTGGAGTTTCTATGGCAACTTGTGTGGTTTTCTTTTTATTTCCTTTTGCATGTATTGTATAGTTGTGTTCCTTGTGCTTATCATGAAGATCGCATAGAACACTCTGTAGCATCAAGAGTCTATTTGTAACTTTCAACTGCTGAGCCTCAATCACATAAGAAAGAAACCCTACTCCTCCACAGTCCTATCCTATTCAACCCCAACTTTATGATCCTGATGTCACAAATTCCACCTTTTTATAGTGTACCCACTTTAATGTGGGCTTTCCATTGTCTTTTAAATATAACTAAAGAATAAAAGTGTGATGGCTCAGCAGGTAAGGCCTTGCTGCTGTCAGACCTGGCAACCTGAGTTCAGTCCTCAGGGTCCAGCAAACAGAGCCTACCTGAACAAAGACAATTACCAAGAAGCTGTGTTTGACTCTGTTATTGTCTGTCTAGAATCCTTTTGGGTTTTTTTAAGCTTTCTCAGGCTTCATGTGGAAATTCTTACCTCATGTCAGGTGCCATTCATGGATGGAAGTTTCTGTCCTGTCTGGTCCTGCAGCTGTTTAGTCCCAGAGAAATACACAGAGTCTTATATTAATTATAAACTATTTGACCTACTAGTTCAGGCTTATTATTAACTAGCTCTTACAACTTAAATTAGCTCATAATTCTTGTCTATGTTTAGCCATGTGCCTTGGTACCTTTCGTCAGTGAGGCATTCTCATCTTCTTTTCTCTACATCTGACTGGTGACTGCGTCTCTTCCTTTCCTATTCCCAGAATTCTCTTAGTCTGGTTGCCCAGCCTACACTTCCTGCCTAGCCAGCCAAACAGTATTTTATGAAACCAATATAAGGGACAAATCTTTACAGTGTACAAAAGCATTATCCCACAGCAGTAGATCACTCCTGTGTTTCCAGCCTTTGCATTTGAACTACAATTCACAGGGGTCTCCTTGGGCTTGTCCTGGAGTTGCCAAGCTGTTTGTATTAGATGATGTATGCCTTTCTTCAAACCAGCAGTTTGGGGCCATCATTTCCTCAGATGAACTGAATGACTCTTCTGAGAGACTCCACAAACACAAATATGGGTCTGGAAACTGTAGGGGTTTTTTTTTTAATTTGTGCTTCTTAGGTTTAACCATTTCAAATGACCTATCTTCATCTTCAGCCATTCTTTCTCCTACCTGTTTGGATCTCCTGATGAACCCCGAGCATATGACCATTCAACAACTATGCTTTTGGTCCTAGAATTTAATTCATCTCTCTTTTAGAAGATTACCCCTCTATTGATGCTGCTCTTTGGTTCATTTGGAGTGTTTCTGTGCTCCTTTTCATCTTTGGGGTTTTCTTTAGCTGTTGCAGCCAATTTAACACAGGTCTTTAAAACCATCTTTGTCTAACAGCTAAAGTTGACACAGCTTGGGCTTCTGTTTCTGGGAATCTGTTTTGTCCCTTTGAATAGACAGCATCTCTGTTCTTTTGTTTGCCTTATGGTCATCGGTTGAAAGTTGAGCATGTAAGAGGAAAGCCCTTTTTTTTTCCCAGTCACACACACTAGCCTGTGTAAGGAAAGACCATCATCACCAATGTGGTCATAATGTCATCTCAAGTCTCTCTGACATTTGTCTCCCCTGGTCCTATTTGTGTGTCCTCCCCACTCTACAGTTTTCACATTTACATAGCCAGTGTTACTAACCCTACTTCCTTCTAGGAATTCACCTGTGCTTCTTCTCAGGGCCTTGGCAGTTCTGTCGAGTTACTTCCTCCATCATCTCTTGGCGTTTGGTGCCCACAAATCTTTACACATCATGGACCCCACTGCGGGTACAAAGACATCTACCTAAGAATCACACAGTGGTGCTGTTTCCCTGTGGCCTCCAGATCAGGCAGCAGAAAAACCCATTCACTCAGTGGCTCCTGAATAGGCCAGTTCCAGTCTCTTCCATGAGCCAGCATTGGATGGCTTCCCCTTGATTGTGCTGCACCGCACCAGAGACTCGGGAGCAGGGGCAAGGGAGAATGCCACAAAATGCCCTACATTCTGAGCGTGGCTTTAACTGTGGGCAGTTGCTAAATTGTCGAGAGTTCTCACAAAGCTGCTTTAGTCGATTTGTTACTGCTTGTTTGATGTTCCTGTGAGGAAACAAGAATATGTAGGCTTTGGGTCTTCCGTCTTTGAATCCTAACCACTAGAAATACCTTCATTTTAAAACACTAACCAAACATTTAGGAACTACCTTAGCCTCTTTTCTTTTGTTAGGATACAATCTTATTGAGCAACTACTTTGTGCCAAACACTATTAATGTGGTTTATTTATCTAAAACTGCTTAGGCAATATTGTTGTCCCCATTTCATAGGTGGGAAAACTGAGGTGGAAAGAGGAACTCACTGTGTTAATCAGCAGTTCTCAACCTGTGAGTAGTGACCATCAGAAAACACATATTTCCAATGGTCTTGGGAACACCCAACCATGAATTTATTTTAATTGCTACTTCATAACTGTAATTTTGCTGTTGAGCAGTGTCTCAGTTCCTAAGATCATCAGAAATATGTGTTTTCCAATTGTTGCAACCCACAGGTTGAGAACCAACCACAGGCCTGTATGAACCTAGAATAGACACACGGAGAGGGGAATTTGCTTGTCTTCAGTGGGAAGCTTGAAGGGTATTCAAGGTCACATTTGACTTCAGATAGTCCACAGTCTGGTTTCCTACTTCTCTGTTGATGTCTTAAGATGGGATCTCACTGTGCTAGGCTCACAGTGGAATGTAACTGTGGGAGTGAATTGTCCTTTTCCTCGGAAGCAGGAAGTGATGCTTGGTATATAATCTTAACCAGGAGGGCAAGAGAGGCCCAAGTCCAGCCCTGTGGTGGGTGAACAACCAAGGAGCTGAGATAAAGTGGAGCTTCCGAGAGCTGAGGGACCTAAGCCGCCGCACCGCCAACGTCTTTGAGCAGAGCTGTGGCCTGAAGCAGGGAGACCGCCTGGCCTTGATTCTGCCCCGCGTGCCTGAGTGGTGGCTGGTGACAGTGGGCTGCTTTCGAACAGGTAAGTGATTTACACGGGACCCACTGGACCTGAGGGCTGGATGGTGGGTGCCCTGCATCCAGCCGGGTACAAATGAAATTCTGGGGCTCCAGCCTTGGCGTCTATGCTGGAACCACGGAAGAAGCCTCTGCCCCTCCTTCTGAGGGCCGACATCTCAGGTGGAGACAAAATATTTCCTCTTCCCCGTAACTTCCTTATTCTTCCAGTCCTTCTTCCTTCTGCTCAAATACATCCACACATTTTCTTCCTCTTTCCCTACCACACTGGCATTAATATGCCCTAAACATAGCATGTACCCCTCCCTTTCTTTCTCAAGAACCTGTTGTGATTATTGTGGGGCATACAAGCACCAGGTAAGTACCCATGAGCATCTGCTAAAACCTAAGGTGTCCCCTTCATAAACTCACAATGGAGTTACAGCCCAAAGGCTAACATCGGTGCCCTGCAGTTAGTAACCCGTACACCTTAGTAACATACATTCTACTCTTATCCAAACACTATCCTTTAGAACCAATTTCTCTTTAAATTCAGTAGAGAACCATGTATTGCATGTAGTTCTCAGGTCCCCTCCACCCCCTTTAATCTACAGTGTTTCAGACTTCTCTATGTGGCAACATTTTTCAAATGTCCAAGTCAGTTGCTTGGCAGACTACAGCTCAGTTTTTGGACTCACAATTCTTTCTTTGCAGTTCTCTTCAGCTTAACTATATTTGACTGCAATCCTACAAAACCAGGTTATGTCTCCCTCGGTGTACCATGTCAGCGTGTGTGTGAAGTGGGCTCAACACTCAAGCCAGACACTCTTCACCTGACTCCTCCTGCATGAGGCTGTGACTCTTTTTCCCCAATAGGCTTTTTATATGGTTTGGCTCTGCATTGATACCTCTTAACTATGCTGAGTACAATTATGGTAGGCTCATAGGGAGGGTTTTCATTTGTAGCATGGCATCTACATGTTATTAATTAAAAATCTCATACAGGGATTCCCCTTCCTTTTAAAATTACTTATCCATGTGTATGTGTAATTTGGAACCCATGTGGGGCTTTGTATTTCAGACTTTCATTGCTGTGGCCAATAGTTGAGGAGACATCTAGTTAGAGGTGGAAATGTCTGCCTGGTCTCATGATTCCAGCCCATGGCAGCTCCATGGCTGCCTGAGGTGAGGCAAATCCTTATAGGCTCATGTGCTGGAACGAAGTAACCTACCTCATGAGACCAGGAAGCAAAACACAAGAGTCTGGAGGAGACCAGGAACAAGATAACATTCAACGACCTACTTCAACAAAGACCCACTTCCCATCACCTCCAAAAGCTCACTCTATTATGAGTTCATCTATAGATTAACCATTGACTCACAGCCCTTGTCATCCAAACACCCTTTAACACCAATCTTTAATCTGCCAACTGGGGATCAAGCCTTCAACATATGAGCCTTTTGGGGGATACTTGATCTGCAAACTGTGACAGGACTCGTGGAGTCTCTATTTTAAATCACCCTTCTTATCTCATCATGCATATTCCTGTACCATGTTTTCCTTCCTTCCTTTCCTTCCTTTCCTTCCTTCCTTCCGTATTCCCTCCCTTTCATTATCTAACAGAATGTAATATGGAACCAAGAACTACTAGCAAAGACAGAGAGAATATAGAAAAAAAAAACATGCATCTATAGAACTAAGAAATGGTCAGTGGGAAGCCCAAGACTGCAGCTGAGTCCTCTGAGGTGAGAATTAAAGAAGGTTAGAAGTAAAGAAAGGCCGTCCTTAATGAGTTCCCCACATGCAAAGTCAGGATTAGTATGCATGTGTCCACGTACACATGCATGAGTGGGCACATGCACACAGGCACACACACGCAAGCCCATGAATGTTGAGAGAGGTTTTTCTGTCCCGCTCAGTCCCACAGCCATTCAGTCCCAAAGAAATACACAGAAGTTTACATTAATTATAAACTTGTTGGTCTAGTAGTTGAGGCCTCCTTATTAACTAATTCTTTTTTTTTTTGTATTCTTTTAAACACTGCCTGGCCCATTAGTTTCAACCTCTTAACCCATTTCTAATAATCTATTTATTAACTAATTCTTACATCTTAAATTAGCCCATAATTCTTGTCTGTGTTAGCCACATGGCCTGGTACCTTTTATCAGTGATGCATTCTCATCTTGTTTCCTCTTGGTCTGAGTGATGACTGCAAACTGACCCTTTCCTCTTCCCAGAATTCTCCTGTTCTGGTCGCCCCACCTATACTTCCTGCCTGGCTACTGGCCAAATAACATTTCATTAAATCAACACAAGTGATAAATCTTTACGGGGTGCAAGACCATTGTTTCACAACACATGCACAACACGCATACACACACATGCAAGTGCACACAGTTGTACACACATGTGCACACAACACACATGCACACACACAACCATTTTGAAAGAGAAGCTAAGAGGAAGAAGGGAAGATAAAGAGTGGCCTTCTATGTCAGAATAGGAAGTAGGTATCTCCCTAGAGACAGAGGGCACAGGTGTTCATGAAGAGAAGAAATGCGGAAGGAAATGGCATGTGCTTTGTGGACCTGATGTGGCAGGGGATGGCAGAAAGGCATCTCCTAGAGCTGTGATTTCAGTGGGACAGCCAGGCTTGAACTCACTGCCGGTAGCTGTGTTGGCATTGATAAAGAGAACACAGAGACACTCACAAGACAGCGTGGCTAAATTTGAGGTAAAAGGAACAAAGGTGCCTTGAAGATGACTTCAAGGGACCAATGAGAGGAAGAGGAAATGAGGTAGGGAGTACTGAGATGCAGCCAGCCCTAAGCATCAACAACACTGTCCTCTGATCTGGCCTAGGTGTGTGCAAACCAGGGTCCGGCCATCCTCTGTCTGAGCTCATCTGGAAAGGATTATGAAAGAGCTTTGTGATCTCTATGTTCATATGAATGAGTTATTAAGGTTCAGATTATGACTGAGCTGACTTGGTGCAGGATGTGAGATTCTGTATTCCCTGTGGTGTAGAGGTTGGTGGTCTGTGGACCATACTTTTCATAGTAGTGTGGAAATTCTCAGCAGGTGACCCAGGCCTAAGCCCCTGGATGTGAAAGTAAGCCATCCTTTTTCAACCCCAGGGATCGTCGTCATGCCTGGGACTACTCAGCTGAAAGCCAAGGACATCCTCTACCGACTACAGGCATCTCAAGCCAAAGCCATTGTGACCACAGGGAGCCTCATCCCGGAAGTAGATTCTGTGGCTTCTGAGTGTCCTGCCCTGAAAGCCAAGCTGGTGGTGTCTGATCATAGCCATGATGGATGGCTCAACTTTCAGTCACTGATGAAGTGAGTTTCTGGTCTGATAAATGTGGTTTCTGAACAGACTGGGGGAGGAGACCACCTACACCCGAGCACTGGAGACAAGTAGCTAGGACAGGAGGCCTACAAGACCGGATGCTGGAAACTCTTCCTAGCCATGCTATCCACCTGCTGTGAAGCCCTGGGCATCTTGCTTCTCCTCCCTGGATTTCCTTAGCTCTTAGTGCTTTGTAAAATCAGGAAGCTGAACTTCCATGTTTGGTCATTAAATGTACGCTCAGCCCTGAAGCCACACAAAGGAGCATTATAAAATCAGGGACAAGGGTGTTGCCTCTTCCATGTAAATAAGGAACCTTTATACATACATGTGTGTGTGCATAAACACATATATGAAGAAGTTTAATGGAAATGAGTTTTCGAGTTGAAATGTGAAACTTGAAAACACCTTGAGCACTCGGGAGGCAGGGACAAGTGGATCTCTGTGAGATCAAAGTCAGACACAGCAAGTTCCAGGACAGCCAGGGATGTACATACAGTGAGATCATTTCTCAAAAACAAAAGAGAATGAGAATAAGAAACTGAATTTATAATGTCAGTGGGACAGTGGGCTAGCAACTTTGGGGGCAAAGACTGTCCCTCTCCTGGTTACCTTTGGGGGCATCTTACTAGCAAGGCTAAGGTAGGACTGGAGAAAGACTCCCCCCCCCAGGAAAACTCCTGTGAACATGGGGGTGCATCCCGCAATACTCACAGCATGGCAGGACCCATGAACCATGTGAGGCTTGCTTCCTTGGAGTAATATCTCCAATTCTTGAGCCATTTGTTTCAACAGTGAAGAGGAATGACCTCTCATAAAACCAGAGACTTCACAGAAAACAGGTTAAAATCAGGAAAATGCTTGGGAAATCATCCAGATTACCCACTGCCAGTGTGGTGCCGTGTACTAGTTAACACAGCCAGCAGTGATGGTGTTTCCTCGGCATTAAAGTTATCTTCAGGATTAAAAAAAAAAGAACTTAGACAACTTGTTCTACAGTCAGAGAAGGCTCAGAAGCATCTGTTGGGAAGATCCCCGAGAGCAAGCTGACCAAAGGGACACAGCTTCCTGAGCTCACCACCCAGATCTGCTGGGAGCATTGAACAAGTTCCCATCCCCCACTCACTTGGGATGTGCTGCAGTACAGACAGTACTAGCTAAGGGTTCTGCAATTTCTTAGTCCGTACATGTTTTCCCATTTTCAACTAAAGACACACCAGCCCCATTTGTCCAAATCACTCCACAGCCAGGCTACTGTCTACCGGCAGGAACACCAGTCCATCCTCCAGCCTTGCAGCTCACCAGGCTTCCCCACTGGACGCTCCGTGTTGCTTCATTGGAAGATGTGAACGCAACAGTGTGATTCTTCTTCTCTTGCCCCAACTCTCTTTGCAGATCAGTATCCGCAGACCACAACTGCATTAATACAAAGATGAAGGACCCCATGGCCATCTTCTTTACCAGTGGGACCACAGGTCACCCCAAGATGGCAAAGCACAACCAGGGACTTGCTTTTCGCTCCTGTGTCACTTCATGGTAGGGAAAGAACACTTGTTTCAAGGCTGGGTTCCAGCTCTAAGGCAAGAGGTGTGTGCCCATGGGCATGTGGAGGAGATGGTCATCTGAATAGAAGTGTCTCCATCTTGTTCCTCTGCCTCAGCCTCTGAGGGTCTGAGAGAGGAGAGTCTGGGGTCCTGAGTACTAGCTGACAGAGACCCAGGGGGACACAAGAGGATCCTTTGGATCCTATTGAGCGCTCTCACAGGAGGGCATTCTGCAAGCCACACAAGTAACAGGTTGCTGTGTCCTCAAGACACCTGTCCTGAGAGCCCCCCTCCCTTCTGTAGTATGGGAAAGACAGACATGGCATTTCTCACTAATGGAGTACCTGGAACTGAACTCCAGCAGGGCGCCAGCTCTGACTTCGAACAAAAATATGCAGAGCCCTGGTGAATCATTTCAATAACCTTCAGCCGATTGTCTGTACCCCTTACCCACTTCCTCTCCAACTGGCAATATTCAGAACAAACAGGCTGAGTACTGGTCTCTAGCTTTTTAACCAGAACAGGAACAGGAGAAGGCAGACACGCGAGAACCCCTCCTCTTCAGCTCCCGGCCATTGCCCTTTGACTCCTTGCCTCCTCCTTGCAAAGGATGGAGCGCCCAAACCAAACACTTTAAGTCAAAGAACAAATAGGAAGATGTATTGGCTCACGGCCTAGAAGCAGTCCACAGTCATGCTTCATGCATTTCTGGTTAGACTGGATTTTCATTGTGCCATACCACCACTGTTGATGCCACATAGATGCTTCCGGAGTCCCCAAGTGTTATATCAGTGACTGATCCAGACTTAGCAAGACAGCCGAAGACTTTGCCCCAGATTTTGTAGCAAAGGTCTGAGGGGCCATTGTCAGAGCACTGCTTTCAATGACTTCTGTCCAGGAAGTAAGGCGTGGTGGAACACCTTTGGTGTTCTGGATCGCTTCCCCCCACCTCCCCACAGCTCACTTGAAGTGAGCGAAAGAGGTGATTCCTTAGCTGAAAATGCTCCCCAGCTCTTGTCAGCACAGCTGAGGCCACTGTCTTTTGGAGTTAGCAGGAATGTGTTGAAACTGAAGACATCTGACGTCCTGTGGTGCATGTCAGACCCAGGATGGATTCTGGCCAGCGTGGGGTGCGTCACTCAACCATGGGCATCAGGGGCTACCATCTTCATCCACCACCTCCCTCAGTTCGACCCCAAAGTCATTATAGAGGTAAGAAAACCAACTTCCCGGAGTCGAAACCCTCTCAGAGGATATACAGGTTTCCCAAAGCTCAGGTAATCCCATAAAGACTGTGTAATTCAAGTCGTCCTAATTTTGAGCTGCCCACCACGTGGGTCACTGAAGCAGTCACGGTATCGGGGTCGCAATGTGAGCTAGAATAAAGTGCATCTTTCTTAGCTATTCTGTAGATCTCTAGATCAGACTTTGTGGGTAGGAAACACATAATATTCATGGTGAGAAACTAAAGCAAGGAAGATGAGCCCAAATTTCTGGGTGCTGCTCTGCTAGGGCCAAGTAGCAGGTGTGGGGGGTGGGGTGGGGTGCTACTCACTACAACAAAGTGTAAAAATTAAGGCCTTGGAATACAAGACAAGCTTCTTACTCCACCTTTGATATTGGTTCGCATGTTAGTTTCCAGTCACAGCCTTAGCTTCCTTCCAAGTAGGCTTTTGAAATATACTTTTATTTCTTGTTTGATATCATACATGTTTACAAGGCCTTTTGGTCAAATCCATCCCCCACTGCCTCCCTTCCAGTTTCTTCCACGCCCTTCACCACTTCTCCCTCCCAATCCTGTGTACTCTTTTTTTTTTTAATACACCCAGACCATTTAGTATGGCCAGTGTGTGCGTGGCTGCAGGGGCCCTCAATACAGAGACTCACAATTGGTCGGATTACAGAGAATAAAATACTGTGAATTTCCAGTCAGCCATAAATAGAATCACACATGCATGTGCGCACACAGAGAGAGAGAGAGAGAGAGAGAGAGAGAGAGAGAGAGAGAGAGAGAGAGAATTGTTTGTTAACTCATGAGCATTCTCAACTCTCTGTCAACACTGTGTTCGTTTCATGATGCCCTACTAAATGCTGCCTCCTCCATAAGCTTGGAGCACCCACCCAATCCATTGCCCTCTGCTGTGTACTTGACAGAACCCCACATCTCTTTTACGACATCTGCCAACTTCCACCTTGTCGTGCCTGCCTTTTTCGTCTCCTCTGTTCGTCTCTACCCTTTCCACTGTCTAGAACATTGGTTCATTCTTCCCAGTGCCTGACACAATGCCATGTATGAAATCCACGCCTAGTGTGCGTGTATTAAAGGAACTAACACAAAAATAAGTAGGCCGTCCTGGAGGAAAGATCATAACCTAAGGGCTAATAATTGGCTGATGTTTGTAACCTTAGCTACAAGAGTAAAATTCCCTATCTCTTCATTTCCAGACGCTGTTCAAATACCCCATCACTCAGTGCCTTGCTGCGCCTGCCGTTTACCGCATGATTCTCCAGCAGAAAGTTGACAAGTATGTAACCCTGGCTGGGAATAGCAGTCTCTGGTTAGGATTCTCTCTCTCTCTCTCTCTCTCTCTCTCTCTCTCTCTCTCTCTCTCTCTCTCTCTCGATTTATTTATTTATTATGTATTCAGTATTGTCAGTATTCTGTCTGCATGTATCCTTCAGGCCAGAAGAAGACACCAGATCTCATTACGGATGGTTGTGAGCCACCATGTGGTTGCTGGGAATTGAACTCAGGACCTTTGGAAGAGCAGGCAATGCTCTTAACTACTGAGCCACTTCTCCAGCCCCCTCTGGTTAGGATTTTTAAAGTGTCTGATGTGCCATGGTTTGTTTCCCCTTTGTGTTTTTGATTGTGTGTGTGTGTGTGTGTGTGTGTGTGTGTGTGTGTGTGTGTTTAGTAATGATTTTCAGTCTAATTAGTTAGTTCAAGACCTGGTCCTGTAACCTTGTAGTTTTATTCATTTGTGTGTGGGTTTATTATTTGTGAAATAACAAAAACAAAAACATGAACTTGCCTAAGATGAAAATTTACAAATGAATGAACTGTTAGAAATAGATGTGCACTCACTCACCTGAGTCAGAAGATAGAACTTTGTCCATGCCTCAGAGACATCTATGGGCCTCCTTGTGTCCCCTGGACAAAGCCACCATCAGTTTTGCTAGTGCTCAGTCCTCTGTTTTTCTTGATACCAGTTAAGAAAATATTCCTGAGAAAATGGGTCTGCTTTTCATGTTTTTCAATGTTTATTTATACAATACAATTATGGCATCTGGCTTCCTTTTCCAATATTATCTATCTCTGATATATTCATATTGTGTGCCTTTGTGGTTAGTTTATCTTCGTTGCTATTTAATATCCTGTTTTATGAAAGTATCACAATTTATTTGATCATCCTACAATTTTGGATCACAATCTTTGATCAAGATGGGGTTAGCCTTTGCCTGGGGCTGTTGATGACCAGTGCTACACTTAACTGTGGCCCTCGCAACCCAGGTGAAGATAAATAGGCTTTCTAATGTTTTTCTAGGGCACAGATCCCTAGGTCATGCCAGACAACTTAAATGCTTTCCAAAGTATTAGACCATATTATTCTCTCTTCATCGAGATAAAGGATTTCCATTGTCCACATTATTTTCACCACCTACTTCCGTCAGTTAATTTTGACAACCCAATGGATGTATACGTAGTATTCTCTTATTGGAATTTTACTTTTCACTTCCTGGTTTTGGGGGGGTTTGCCCTTTGCTAATTTGGAATCTTCCTGGATATGGGCATGTATATATATTCTAGAAGTAGGAAGCCCCTACCTCTCTAACCCCAACAGATGGCTAGGCTTCAAACCGAGCCAACTCAGTATTTCCCTCCCGTTTTCCTCAAGTAGTCCAATTATTGTTTAATGGGGTCCCTCTAGGCACATTTGGGAAATGGGAGAGAGATTGTATCTCATGATGCACCCAAGGTAAATGCTCACCTAAAGCACTGCCCTGAAATTTTTCCTCTATGGATTTCTGACCTCTGTCAAATTCTGTTTCCTGTCATCTTTCTGTATTTTCCTACAAACGGTCCAGCTTGCCGTAATGTCCTACACGAGTCTTTTCCACCCTGACTTTCAGCCTCCACACAGAAATAGAAAGCCCCTCAGTCAGCCCCGCGCACTCCCCACATAAGGCAGTATGGCGCACACTCCCTACATAAGGCAGTATGGCGCACACTCCCTACATAAGGCAGTATGGCGCACACTCCCTACAAAAGGCAGTATGGCGCACACTCCCTACATAAGGCAGTATGGCTCTGTTTCTCCCTAGTGTCCCTGGGGGTCTCCTCCCCGTCCTCGTAAGGTCTATCAAGGTGTCCAACTTGGATCCATAGGAAAATGTTCTAGGATGAGTTCTTATGGGTACCCTTGTCTCTTTGTCACATCAATATCCAAACCTAACCAAAGCATCATTGATATGCCCCAGCATCTTCAGCATCACCCGAGTCTCTGCTCAGAAACAGTAACGTACAGGACATTAACTTACAGACAGGGTGTGCCGTCCATCTATTCATGGCCATCAGTAGCATGACAGAAGGTGGATTTAGAAGTGAGCAAGCAGACAGAAGAATGCTCTCAACGACAGAGCGTCAAGCTCTCAGTGCTTTATATTTCCAGCAGAGCATCCAATGCCTGACATATTTGCCTTCCCTTAAGTCTCAGGTTTCCCACCCTGGAGCATTGCAGCACTGGTGGGGAGAGCCTGCTGCCCGAGGAGTTCAAGCAATGGAGGGAAAGGACAGGCATTTTCATTCATGAGCTGTACGGACAGTCAGAAATGGTACGTGAGCAGGCCCCTTCTGCACCATTTGCATGGGCTCAGCTATGACCCAGGCTGTGCTGGGGGCTTCGGTGTGTACAGCGCTACTTAAAGTCAGAGGAGAGCTTTGGGGTTCAAGGATATGCTACCCAAATTGGCAGGGGGGAAATGTACAGCTCATCAACTTACTGAGAAACCAATGGATTGAAAGTTCTCGGGTAAAGTTAAAAAAGACACTTTTACGCTGTGCCTGGGATTGTTAGCTCAGGGAGCCACATGGGGGGAAAGGGGGTGTTGGAAACAACGATCCCTCCTGTAGTTCGGAGACCATCAGCAGATCCTGCCAATTCCCCCATCACAACCTAGATCAACTACACAAAGAGGTGGTTGGGAACCGGCTTTCAAAGTTCATGTCTGGGTGTTGAAGAGGACAATGCAGGTTAAATTATAAAATTGTAGATTACTAATCAAAGACTTTCTGTATATACCACACGCACACAGGCACGTATTCCTGAGCACATACACATGCACACACTTAATGATATCCCAGAGTGTCACTGAACTAGAAGATGGTCATGGCATTTACAGTGTCATGCACCTTGAGAATCTCAAAGACTTCGTCTTTCATTCCAACACATTTGCCATTAATGTCTAAAGTTATTAGAAGGTCACTTGTTTGTTCCCAGCTGCTCAGCCCCAAAATAATCACACAAAAACCTTATTATTTGCAATATTGTTTGGCCAATAGCTTAAGCGTATTTCTGGCTAACTCGTATCTTAAATTAACCCATCTCCATTAATCTGTGTATCGCCATGAGGCTGTGGCTTACTGGGTAAAGTTCAGCATCTCTCTCCAGTGGGCCTACATGGCTTTTCCTCACTCTGCCTTCTTTCTCCCAGCATTCAGTTTAGTTTTCCTCACCTGCCTCTAGTCTGTCCTATGCAGCCCCCAAACAGCTTCTTTATTCATAGCCAGCATATAGAGGGTCTAATAGCTGGGTGGAGCTGCTTCTTAGTATCCCTTGAGCTAATAAAGGAATGTCTGCCATTTCAGGCCCTAAAATACATTGAACATTTGAGACATTGTTCACAAATTTGTCTGCTGTTTATTTACCAAAACAAACAAACAAAGCAGTAAGTTGATTTGCTTCCAACCTGAAAAATTGTTATGACTTTGGACCTGTTGTTGAATGGCTTATAGAGACATCTGAGAGAGACAAGGAGAAGTGTGGGTGAGAACAATGTGCCTCACTGGTGACTCCAGCTTCTTTGCGCAGATGGCACTTTCTTCCTCCAAACACACTGTGTTCTTCATTCACTTATGCCTGTGTCCCTCACTTACAGTGACAGCAATGACCTCAGTGACCTACAGTAAGAGCAATAGATCAGCAGATGTGAAGAGCTTCTTCACTCAGGAGCTCAGCCTTCTCCTTTATAAACATCAAGACCATAGGTCTGTGGGTCAATCTTTCTGAATGTTAGCATTCTGCTTTCTGAAGTGGAAGTTATTATAATGCTATTATTGATGAATCATCATACATTAAGTTCTGGCTGCAATGCTAAGTCCATAGGTCACACAAATGTCGCTATGGTCATTGTGTATTTTAGGTAGGCGGTTGTGCCAGATGCTAGGTGTACGTAAGTGAATGGGACAGTCGGCACTCTGGGGATTCTTGTCCACTGAGGGAAACAGATAACCAAACAATAGTCATAACATCTGTGAACTTGAACTGCACAAAAATACTGTATGGAGAAAATACCACAGGATAAGAAGGCTCTATGGATTCTCCTTGGGATTTGAATAATAATACTAAGTATTAATCTTTTCAGTGGATGTTTGGTGTGTACCTCACGCTGTATAAAAAAAGTTTCCCCATAGAGTCATGTGTGCTGTGTATGCTCATAGCCTGTCACTTAAGAGACTAAGCAAAAGATCCCAAGTTCAAAGCCAGATGGAATTCACTGCATAGCGAGTTCCAAGCACACCTAGGCACAATAGAGAGACCTTATTTCAAAATACCAAGAAAGGGGGAGGGGAGAGTTGTTCTCATACATTTTCAAGCACAGTGAGAAATAAGTGTGCCCCTTTCCTCTTTTTGACAAAGGAGAAGACCCACTGGGTAAAGACTTCACCATGTGCTGGAAAGCACTCAAAATAGAGAGAAAGAACTACAGGGAAGAGCCGAATTCACTGGGAAGGCAGACGATGTCGAGGAGTCCTGGCAGAGGGAGGGAGTGACATAAAAATCTAAACCTTTTCAACCTATCCCCAAGATGCTGAGGGAGGATTCCCATCACTATCCAATAACCAGGGGGGTATGCATGGTCAACAGACTCAAGCCTTTCTGTGGCAAACTGACACACCCTGGTAGGCATTCCACACCCCACCTGAAATGCCACTGCCTCGGTCTTACCTCTTTGTTTCTATCTTTCCCTCAGTCACTAGAGTCTATCAACCCTACACGTAGTACAGATGCAGCTCATATTGGGAATAACAAGTGTCCATTGGATAGAGTTGGGTCAACGCTTATATCAAGCCTAAATCCTAATCTCAATAAATGGCTTCTATCAGAGGTCATGTGCGTGACCTGGCTTTGGCCAACCTTGGTGTTTTTTTGTGAACAGGGGCTAGGCCTTGGTGTCTTCCGGGATATGAAGATCAAGAAAGGCTCCATGGGGAAGGCCATATTACCCTTCGACTTCCAGGTCTGGTCTTTCGGGTGCGGATAACTTAACTGGGGTTGGAGCCATGTGTGACAGCAGGTAGTAGAACCAGCCACACCCCCACGCTGGTCACCCTGCTCCCTGCCTCCTGTTTCTTCCTGATTTCCCGGGGAAGCTTCAGTGAGAAGTGTATTTATTACTGTGGATCCTGATGCAGCTTGTCTGGCAGGGAGACACATTGCACATGCGTGTGAGAGAATAATAGATAATACCTGCAGGGAATACTGTCTTCCAGTTTGAAGACACGGCAGTAATATCTAGATTCCCATGAAACAAGGAACCCCGGATCATGGGCTCCGTATTTCCTGATTTGAAAGAATTTGACAGTTTTATTCTCTTGTCTGACAGTTTCTCCATGAGTGGTTCCCATTTATCCTGTTAGGGTCATGGGAGGAGGGGCCCATCAGTAGCACATAGGGCTGAGTGAGTCGCTTCGTGTTCCAGATCATCGATGAGAAGGGTAACATCCTCCCACCCAACACCGAAGGCTACCTCGGCATCAGGATCAAGCCCACCAGGCCTTTAGGCCTTTTTGTGGAGTATGAGGTAATGGCATCCCACCCCATCCTGCCTCAAGAGTGTGTCAAGGTTGTTCTGCATCCCGAGACTTCTTCAAGCCATCTTCTCTTCACACCAACCTGAAGAAAGCCATTTTAAATACAGGCTAAGTCCTTGGCACTTTATTACAGCTCTTTCTGTCCTAGACCACTCAGGATTTAAGAACTAAGTGATGGGGGAGGAGGAGGGTGGTCCTCAGCATCACCATACTGGTCCTCCATTATGTCCAACCGTCCTTTTGCTGAGGGAAAGCTGGGAGTGTTACATGTCCTGCCCATGCCAACTGAGCTGAGCAGTAGAGTATGCATCTTTTAGGTGTCATGCATGCCCTAAACGAGAAACTGGGGAGTGCCGAAAGCTGGGTTGAACCATAAGAAAACCTCCTGAAGTTCCCGATCTAACAAACTCTGATATTCTGGTTATGTTGTAATGGGAGCGGCAGGGCTACGTTCCCGGCTCCCAGACGCCTGCATGGCTAGCTTATGCCCCGAAATAATTACACGGAAACTGTATTTTTTTAAACACTGTCTGGCCCGTTAGTTTCAGCCTCTTATTGGCTAGCTCTTACATGTTGATCTAACCCATTTCTAATATTCTGTGTAGCACCACGAGCTGGCTTACCAGGAAAGATCTTAACCTGCGTCTGTCTGGAGTGTGAGAATCATGGCGACTCCCTGACTCAGCTTCTTTCTCCCAGGATTCTGTTCTGTCTACTCCACCCACCTAAGGGTTGGCCTATCAAATGGACCTAGGCAGTTTCTTTATTAATTAACCAATGAAAGCAACAGATTAGAAAGAAATCACTCCCACATCATTTCCCCTTTTTCTGTTTAAACAAAAAATAAGGCTTTCACTTTAACATAATAAGATTACATATAACAAAAGTTATCAAGTAAGAATTACAGTTACAATATTTATATCTATTTTAACTTTTATCATAACTAAGGAAAACTACAACTATCTATCCATTCTTTAACTCCATCAAAGACTCCAGAAGGATATAATATTACCTAAGCAAACAAGAAATCCAAAACTCTAGAAATGACAGAGACATCTCGTTATCTGGACAGTCACCCAAAGTTCCTCTGTACCGTTGGGGTATCAATCTTTGGCCTACAGGCCCATAGTATCCAGCAGACATTTCCATGAAGCAGGAAATTTCAAAGGCAGTTTAGTCACTATCTGTTGTGTCCTGCAGAATGTCTCGCAGACTCATTCATGAGTCAGGAATCCCGAAAGACCATCTCACCTTTAGGCAAGTTTAGCAGTCCTCTCTCTGTGGGTTCTTTGTGTCCAGTTCATGCAACAGTCCGGGCAAGAGCAGTTTCTTGTCCAAATGGCTATCAAACTCCATAAAGAGCCTCTTTGATGCCCATCTTCCTCTTGAAGTAGCTGGTGCTGCCAGGAGCAGATGTGTCTCATTGTCATGAAAAACCCTAAGTTATTAAAATATTTTAAATGTCATGTTCTATAGTCTTTGAAAGATATGAAGAATGCCTATCTAAAATATATCTATGCATATCTAGAAAATCTAACTAACATGACTACAAGCTTTATTATTATTGATGATTATCCATTATCAACCTATATTTCCTAACTATACATTATACTTTTAAAATGAACTACACAATCACAATACCTTAATCAAGATCAGAAATACATATACCTAAAATAAAATTGACCTTAAAATCCATACCAATGTAAATTATTCATAATTCATAGGCTTCAAGATGGACCATGGATAGGTGACCAGACTGCAACCAATCTCAGACTCCATCTCCTTTCTCCAAACGCTTTTCACCTGAAGCTATGGCTGTCTTCACACCACAGCCTCGAGGGGCATGCCTGTGGGTATTTTCATAAATCCCAAGTTATTCCAATAGGCAGTTTTGAGAGTCACACACACATTCACATCCATGACTCCCAAACCTAGCTATCATATATTATATATAACATATAATATGTCTGTGTGCTTTAATTTTCCTTTCCTTCCTTTTAGAGTTTTGTTTCTGGGAATTAAGACTAAGAGTCATGTTCCTATTTTGGTAGCCATCACATAAAGCAATGCCCCCTGGACCTCATGATTAAGCACTTCTTCAAGGAGACCTCGATTTTGTAATTTGTTTTGAAGTAAATTAGAATATAGGATTCACTCCTCCATTTTCAAGTGTGCACGTCAGTGGCATTTAAAGATTTCATGACAGAGTGAACCCCTCACATCATCTGTCTCCAGAAAATCTACACCCTAAACAAAAACTCTGTATTCATTGCACAGATAGACCCACAGCCTACCCCTCATCCCCAAAATCTCTTTACCTCTTAGCCCTTTTCCAAGTTTGTGAATTTGCCTGTTTCAGAAAATCCATAACAGTGTGATCATGTGGCACACTTATCTCACTTTTCTTGAGTTTGGAAGCTTTTTCTGCCCTAATGTATTTGAACACCACCCAACCCCCTCCTCTTCTTCAGAATTTTTGACAGTGCATTCTTGGCAGCTTTGATACATCCTACAAGTCTGTTGGGCTCTCTTGACTTTGTTACATTGCATTTTTTCCTCTTTGGATTTTATTTTTTATTTTCAGTTGCTATACTTTCAGTGACTTAGTTCTTTCTGCCTGTTTTAATATGCTTTTAAAACCTTCCGGTGAATTTTTTAAATTTAGTTGTTTTTCCATATTTGATCTTTACCCATTTTATGTGTGTTGAATTATCAGCTGTAGCCCACACAAACATTCAGTTATTATGTATCAATGGAAAAAAAACTAGAGATTAGTTGTTGATAGGGGTTAGAGCTGGTGGATGGGAGAAGGATGGAACAGAGAGTGCTTACCAAAGCCTTGGGAAGGGTCTTCTGGTGATGGCGCTGCTCTATACACTGATTGCTATGGTAGGATGAGGAGTCCATGCCTGTGAGCAAATTCATAGCACACACACACACACACACACACACATTTAAACCACAGGAAATCTGAGAGAGATCAGAGGATCAATGTCCATATCCTGATTGGGATATTGAACAATAGCTTTGTAAAACATTACCATTGGAGGAAACGAGATAAAGGGCATGTCGAATTTCTAGGTACTGTTTTCTTATTCTTCTTACGTTACATTGTACTGTAGTATCATAGGAAAGCGTATGTTATGAAGCCCCTGCCTCACTGGATTCAAGTGGGAATCAGAGAATCAGGTTAGGCAGCACTTGGAGAAGGGAATTCACTCGCTCCTGCCTATTGATCCCCCTTAGCTGTCCCAGCACTACACAGACTGAGCAGCATAAAGCCAGGGTTCTCACTAGAATGGAGACTCAGTCTGCGGAGAGTCCCACATAAGTAAGATGCTGTGTTTTAAATATGATCATGGCTGGAGCTGCAATCCACAGTGTGTGGACTTGTCCGGGTACCAGGTGCAGAATTCAAACCCAGATGTGACCCCACGCTCATCAGCTCTAAGCTCACTACCTTCACCAAGGGTGTTTCTTCTGCTCTCCTTGCAGAATAACCCGGAGAAGACGGCTGAAGTGGAATGTGGAGACTTTTACAATACCGGGGACAGAGCCTCTGTTGACGAAGACGGCTACTTCTGGTTCTCGGGCAGGGGTGATGACGTCATCAATGCTTCTGGGTAGGTGAGGCTGGCCCTGGGCTGGCTCTTGACACCCTCAAATGCCTCATGGCACCTTGCCTGCTTGATATTTCTTCATGCCCTGATGATGGGGCCGTCAGCCTGACTCTGAACAGAGCTGTGTCTAAGATATCCTGGGTGCGCGGACATCTCCACATCCCTGTAACCAAAGATGGAATTAAAGTGAAGTTCAAGGGGATCAAACGTTCCATAGTGATGAGAAGGAACCAAGAGGGTAGTGACACAGGCCTATAATCCCAGGTACTCACAAGACTGAGGCAAAAGATCCTAAGTCCAAAACTGCCTGGACAACTGACTAAACTATCTACCTCAACTTTTTAAAGGGGGGGTGAGGATACCCTTCGTTGATAAAGAGCTTGCCTGCCATGTGTGAGGGCCTAGGCTCAGAACCTAGTACCATGGAAGGAAAGAAAGGGAGGAGAAACAAAGCCTAAAAGATGAAATAGCACGCTGAGAGGACCCAGCCTTCTCTAGGACACAATGTGAGGATCTCGGGGGTTCTGGTGCTGAGAGGACCCAGCCTTCTCTAGGACACAATGTGAGGGTCTCGGGGGCTCTGGTGCTGAGAAAAGCTGCTTGGGCCACACACTCCTCAAGGAGCCATTACTCTGCCACCTCCTTCACAAGAGACACCAAGAAAGCCATCCCAGGAACACCTGAGTCAGGTAGTTTTAGAACTAAATACTCCATGGGGGGGGGGGGGTGTCCAAAATATTAGTATCGAGTCTCTGGCTGTCTATGACCTCCACCCTCGGTGTCAAGTGTCCATAACCCTCAAGTACAAGGTGTAAGGTTAAGTTCTCTGCAGCCCTGGCATCTGCTCAGAACACTTGCTTCTCCAGGTACCGCATTGGGCCTTCGGAGGTGGAGAACGCCTTGGCGGAGCACCCTGCGGTGGCAGAGTCAGCCGTGGTAGGCAGCCCGGACCAGAAGAGAGGAGAGGTAGGAGGACACAGAAGCCAGCTTTCAGGGACTGGAGAGAAAGGGGGTGGGGCAACTTCCAAGGCCTTAGCATACAGAAGCTGGGAACCTAGAATGGTTCCTGGTGTGTGTGTGTGTGTGTGTGTGTGTGTGTGTGTGTGTGTGTGCACTTAACATGGTTTGGTCACCAGGGGGTGCAGAATCTTTACAAAGACACACCCGTGAGGAATAAACTGCTATTGTGCCCATTTCACAGAGATGGAAGTTAAGGTGAGGTCAGGTGTTTTTCTAAGGCATGCAGTGGAAATGGGGAAGACACGGATTGGAACCTGGCCCTTTCCTTTTCCAAGTAACCCTTAGTCTCAAGCATCAACTCAAGCTACAGTGGATTTGTCCATTCAGTAAACACTGTCTAGCCAAGCTCTGTGAGCCAGCATGCATCTGAACCTCCACTCCCATCCTGAAGGTGGTGAAGGCGTTTATTGTCCTGACCCCGGAGTTCTGGTCACGCGATCAGGAGAAGCTTGTCAAAGAGCTGCAGCAGCACGTGAAGTCTGTGACAGCACCATACAAGTACCCCAGGAAGGTGAGCCAGGCTACACGGACCCAGATGGTGACTTCAGTTTCTGGGCTCCAGCCCAGAGCAGCCATGGTGGGGTGGAGGCCAACAGTGAAGTCAGCCAAAAGGTTTTGTTCCTTAGGGAAGTCTCTACTCCATACCAGAAAGGAACTGACTGATACACACCAATCAAAAGAAAAAGATCAGAAAGGCATCCAAAAAAATGAATTTTTAAGGTTACTTATTATTCTATAAAATTTAAGAAGTCAAAATTGATACTTTAAAATGTGATTCATAGTAAGAAATTAAACCATATTTTCAACCCCAATAACATACATACATAAAGCAAACAAAAAGAAACAAAATATTTATTCTTAGAACATAAAATTATTTTGGGATGCGTTTTTTGCTACATTCGTTTCGAGTGCCACGTGCAGTATGTAAAACAAAAAAACCAATAATAGTGAAATAATTCAGTCATTAATTGAAATTTTTCCTATAATTTCAGAGGGTGGCAAAAGTTTCTTTTAATTTTGTTTTATTTATCATTCTGCTACATTATATTTTTGTCCTTTATTTTTGAGACAGTGTCTCTTTGTAAGCCAGGCTGGCCTAGAACTCATTATGTAGCCAGACTGGCCTCAAACTGTCAATCCTCCTGCCTCAGCCTTCTGAGTGTCAGGATCACGGGCATGTACCATCAGGTCAAGTTTCATATTATTTTATCTTTGACATAAAATACCTTCTCAGTATATCAAGAGAAAAAACAAACTTTGAAGGAATACGCGTAGTATTGTCCTGCTGATTTAAAATAAGAGACAAGCCTGTCAGAAAGTCATTGCTTTCTTCTGCTGTGGTGCATCCCTGTACCATCCCCATGTTCACCAAGGCACACATGTTAGGAAACTGCAGGGCTAACATGTGTCATGTTCTAGAATACTGTGTGTGCGTTCTAACCCCAATGCATTGCAATTTGAGCCTGACTGCAATCAATCCAAGAGCATGTGCGCATGTTTGATAGAGACGAAACTGAAGTCACCTGAGGTTGCACTATGTAAGAGGAGAGTTGGAATTCAAAAGGATGTGTGACAACAAGACCACCCTTCTACATCAGTCAAGCACAATGCCCCCAAACAATGGAGGCTGATAGTCTCTTGTTCGTGTCTATCGTGGCTCTTCTATAATCTCTGCCCCACATCCCTCACCCTGGGATAGGGTGGCCACAGAGGCGCCTGCCTCGTCCTGGCTCCAAACTCTTCTGACTGGAGAGGAAACGCTCCACTTCCATTCACAGTTCATGGGGCAAAGCAAGTTACATGACTACACCATCCTTCAGGAATCAGGAGAAACCTGCAGGACTCCGTGGAGTCAGTCTGTGCAAGGGGGCGGGTGGAGCCGGGCGTGCAAACGGGAAGAGAGCCACAGCAGCCCTAAGTCAGGATGACTTTCTTCTCTTCCAGATCGAGTTTGTTCCTGAACTGCCCAAAACCATCACAGGCAAAATCAAAAGGAAGGAACTTCGAATAAAGGAGTTCAGTCAGAGATCAGCAACAAAATCAGGAGCATCCCTGTGACCTGACACATGTCTTTGACTGTTGGGGGTGGAGATGGGGTGGACTGTAGCAAGGGTAAGTTTGGAAGAGGAAAGCAAGACCCTCCACCAACATTTTTGTGTTTTCAAATTCAGCTACCACCCTTCCTGGGAGTCGTTTGTCCTTTCGATGGCCACAGTGAGCTCTCAAACCTGGTTTGTGGGCATTAAAATATTAATCTGACTAGCACCCTGTGTGGTCGCTTGTTGGAGGAGGCCGCTTGTTTGTTTCCCAGCCGCCCAAACTCATGAAATAATTACACAAAACTGTATTATTATACGCAATACTGTTCGGCCAATAGCTTAAGCATATTTCTAGCTAGCTCTTATATCCTAAACTAACCCATCTCCATTAATCTGTGCATCACCATGAAGTCATGGCCTCCCGGCAAAGTTTCAGAGGGCTCCAGGGCAGGCATCTTTCCCCAGAGGCGGCTACATGGTTTCTCCTAATTCTGCCTACTCTCTCTATATATCTCTTTTAACCCGGCTTTACTCTGTCAAACCATTGACAGAAAGCAGCTTCTTTATGAACCAATAAAAGCAACACATAGGCAGAAAAACTTCCCACACCATTTTCTCTCTTCTTTTTAAATAAAAAGGAAGGTTTTGAGAAGTGATTGTTTTTTACCGCTGAGTAGTATTCTAATGTGTATATATTCCACACTTTCTTCATCCATTCTTCCATTGAAGGGCATCTAGGTTGTTTCCAGGTTCTGGCTATTACAAATAATTCTGCTATGAACATAGTTGAACAAATGCTTTTGTCATATGATAGGGCATCTCTTGGGTATATTCCCAAGAGTGGTATTGCTGGGTCCAGGGGTAGGTTGATCCCGAATTTCCTGAGAAACTGAAACACTGATTTCCAAAGTGGTTGCACAAGATTGCATTCCCACCAGCAATGGATGAGGGTACCCCTTCCTCCACAGCCTCTCCAGCAAAGGCTATCATTGGTGTTTTTGATTTTAGCCATTCTGACAGGTGTAAGATGATATCTCAAAGTTGTTTTGATTTGCATTTCCCTGATCGCTAAGGAGGCTGAGCATGACCTTAAGTGTCTTTTGGCCATTTGAACTTCTTCTCATGTTCTGGCTTGGTGGGAGCCTAACCAGTTTGGATGTTCACCTTCCTAGACATGGACGGAGGGGGGAGGACCTTGGACTTTCCACAGGGCAGGGAACCCTGACTGCTCTTTGGACTGGAGAGGGAGGGGGAGAGGAGTGGGGGGAGGGGGAGGGAAATGGGAGGCTGGGAGGAGGTGGAAACTTTTTTTTCCTTTTCTCAATAAAAAAAAGGAAGGTTTTAACTTTAACAAAGTAAAATTACATATAACAAAACAGTTATCAAACAAGGATTACAGTTACATTGTTTATATCTACTTTATCCTTTGTGTATAGGAGGGCTACTGATTTTTTTGAGTTGATCTTGTATCCTGCCACATCACTGAAGGTATTTATCAGCTGTAGGAGTTCTTCGGTAGAGTTTTTGGGGGTCACTTATGTACACTATCATATCACCTGCAAATAATGAAAGTTTGACTTCTCACAAACTCCATTTAAATGCTCCATAGCCAGACTTCCTGAAAGAGTCAGAGCCATTTGTGCTGGTGAACCAAGAAGCCTGCTCCTAAAGAAGCCATGCAGCCTTCTGTGGGTGGGTGCCTTCCAGCCATAATCCTCCCTAGCTGTCAATCTGAGACACTCCAGGGTTAGACTCTCCCCCTTTGACAGCAGCTTCTGGAGGAGCCCTGAACATGCATTCCACAGCCAGGACATGGAGGGACAGAAGGAGACTCAGGCCAGAAGGAAATCCACTGAGCTCAGCTTCGAATTGGTAACAACATTTACCTGCCAACACAATCCTGTCCCTCCTGCTTTTGATGAGTCCAGGATCTTTTTTGCCTCACTCCCAAGCAATGCTGCTGCTGTTTCCTAACTTAACTTTACCTACCATGAGTGAGTGAGAGGCCCAGCTTCCGGGAATGCAGGAATCATGTAGGTATCCTCTACCCCTGCACAAGGACCTAAGCCTTACCTTAAGCCCAGGCTTTCCTCCAGAGTGAACATAGGCATGAGAATGAGAACCTGATCCTCCAGGGGACTCACTCACTGCCAGGGCCCAGGACTCTTCAGCCGAGATTCCTCTACATATAGGACCTTTTTTCTCACTATAACCTCCTCTAGGGACCCAAAGCCCTTTTCCCCTTCTGGTCTTGAGTTCTGTGATTCTCTGTCACTCAAGTCCTTGAGATCTGAGGTTGGACCATCTGGTATATCTAGAGGTTAAGAAGAGCAAAAGGAGAAATGTCCTCAGTCAGGGGAAGTTGTGGAACAAAACATCCTTTCTTGTTTTATCCCACCTTAGAGGGGAGTCATTACTGGGAGGTTCCCTTCAACATCTGCCTGATTCTTGGATAGATACACACACTCAGGGGATTATACAGTTCAGCAAGCACAGAGCCAAGCAGAACATACAGCAGCCCCAGCCTTGCTTGGGAACACCTCCACAGCTTTGTACATGACATGATTTCTCATGTGACCTGCTGCCCTTAGACTCTTGTTGAAGGTGGTGTCTTCTGGATTCTAAATATGGTGCTGGGCAATGACCTCTGCAGGGTATTCTGTAGGGCTACGGCTGGATCCCAAGAGAGCATCTAATTAGAGTGGTCTTGTAGACAGGGTCACATGATCAGGGTGGGCATAGAGTGAGGAGTGTGTCTTTTGGTTCAGAAGATTTATAAGCCATGATAAAAGTGTGCCCTGCACATAGAACTATAGTGTCACTCCCCATCTCCAATGAGCTGTCAGAATTATCAGATGATGTCATTGTCCTTATAGTAATGACTAACCACACAAGTGACAAACAGAGACACTGAGCTACAAACAAGGACACTGGCTCAGCCTCACATACCCAACCATAGAATCTGGGCTATAAGCAAAGCATCTCTTATTCCTCTCCTTTACAAGACTTCCCTGAGCCTCAGACATAAGTCTCCCTGAGCCATTTTTCTGCCTAGCTACAGCTCCTGCCCCGAGTCTGTTTCTTCATCTATGCCACGGGAATGGAGATGATTCTAAGCCAAGAAACAGGGCTTGCAAGTGGGTCAGAAACAAGCTCTGCATAAATTTTAAGCTTACATTTATAATGTGCTAAAGTGTGTTCACAGAAAGATTATGCAAAAGAAAACGGATTGTATAGAAATTTCAACAAGGCAACGATGAAAGACTTCTTAGGGAAGCCAACAAAATCAGACCCAGGCTACAAAAGTTATAGAAAACATAGATCAGTAGGGATGATGTGATTCTAAATAAGAAACCTTAAGATATTTAGAACACATCAGTTACTAAAAATAGCCATCCTTCACAGGCTAGCATCAGTCTCTGAGAGCTGCCTCCCCTCGGCCAGCTCCGGTGGATGCCAGCAAGCCAAGGAGACACCTCGGGCCTCCTGCTTCTCTCATGGCTAAGGCGTTATTAGCCTTGTGTGTGAGGGCACCTGAGTGAAGCCAGTTCCCAGCTCACCATGGCCCCACCTGCTCTTGGATCCAACACTCTAACAATTGCTCCGAGTCACGTTTTTTTCTCCTAGACTAGGTGACCTTTACTATTTAAAGATCAGGAAATATTCAAAACACACAAAGAAGATGGCCTTCTTCTGAAATAATCACATTCTCACATCTTAGTCCTTGAAGAAAGCTAAAGAGGGGGATAAAGAGACATGAGCAGTGTGGGGTTTTCAAGTTTCATGATGCCACTCTTTAAGACTCTGAAGTGATGAATGAAGACAACTCCCCTGAGTTCCCCGTGGCTCTGATGATGTCCTCGACTGGTGGCCCCCGACTTGTCTCCATGTACCCTCAAATTCAGTACATTGATTCTGAACAATTTTCAAGACTGCAAACTCAGCAGGGATACGCAGTCAATGGGTGAGACTTAGAGTCATAAGTGGAAAAGAACAGTCACCGCTCCACTGGGAAATGTGATCACATAACCACAGCACAGAGCGGAGTAAGGCAGACTCAAGGGCCCATGCAGCACACGCCGTAATGAGAAGGAATAACCCACGATGATAGGAAGGGGACACACTTGTGCAGTACTGTGTAGGGCAGATGCTGACAGCTCTTAAGTTACTCTGGTAATACGAATTTCTCCAACATAATATCTATTAAAGATTTGTAAATTTTTCTCCGTGTATTTTTTTATAGAAAAAGAGACCTGTAAAAAAATGAATTATAGATAATGACAGTCATCATTACCTATTTAAGAAGACATACACTTGGGGTTCAATTTGAGATACACCCAAAATTTGATACTTGATGCATGAACAGAGGGAGGGAGGACCTGGTGGTCCCAGCACCAAGCCTCTCTTGCTTATGGCTATTATGTCTTCCTCACCATGATGGACAGCAAAGTTTTCTTATCAGATTATCCCTCACATTAATAGGAAAGTAGGACAATGTCATTGAATAAAGCCTGAAGGAGTGAATGATTCAGCCTTAATAAGAAATCTCAAAAAGTAACCAAAATGCTGTGAACTTTCACTTTAACAAGAATCCTAAAAATAGTTATTAATTCCTGAAGCTTGAGTACATATAATCACACTTCAGTTGGATGGGTTTTTTTTTCCAAGTCAATTCAGACTTCAGAGACTGCTGGGATATTTTGCAGGGGTGTTGGTGTACCAGCTTTTGTTTTGAAGGTAAAGAGTCAAGGGGGAAAACAGCCCCGATCACTTTATAAAATGGAAGAGGAAGTATGTACTATCCAAACAGGAGGCGCCATCTGCAACGAGAAGGATCAAATAGTTAATGCACAAACAATATGGATCAACCTCAAAATTATGATACTGACTTCTGGGGTACGGGATAAGAGACCCACCCTCATAAGATTCAGGGATGTGTAAAAGGTAATGTATAAACTAACAACATGACCGTTCATGGTATGGTGAGAGGGAAGGATTTTATTGTATGAGAGAGAGAGGGAGAGAGAGAGAGAGAGAGCAGCCAGAGTCATCTGGAAGAGTCCAGAGCAGCTAAACAGGGTCAGCTGACTGGACCTGGGCGTGAAAAACAGGAGCAGTGCAGAGAGATAGAGGGTTGGGAGTAGAGAAAACGAGAGATATGGAGGAAGGGAGACATAAAGAAACAGAAGGGAAGGGAAGGAGAGAGAGAAAGAGAGCATATCAAAA